CCGGTGATGCAGCTGCAGCCGCTGCTGCTGCTGCAGCACTGCTGCTGCGGCCTTTGCTGCTGCAGTTAGCTTGAAGGAACCTGTCGACACCGTGGGGACCTGCAGCAGCAGCAGCAGCAGCAAGACATGCAGGGCGAGACGGGTGGGCCCCGCTGCGCAGCTGGGGTCCCCGCTGCAGCAGTGAGGTCCCCCAGAGGGAGGCCCCGATCCTGCTCGGTGTTGCTGCTGCTGCTGCTGCTGCTGCTGCTGCTTAATGCAGCAGTAGCAGCAGCGACGTTGGTTCCACCCCCCACCTTTATATCTCCCCCATGGCTGGCTGCCCTTCACCGTAGCCACGCTGCAGCAATAGCAGCGCGTGCAGCAACAGCAGCAGCAGCAACAAGGAAAGAAGCAGCAGCTGCTGCTGGTGAGCATTCTAGGGCTGTGGAAGCTGTAAATGCTGCAGCTTCCTTTTTTTTAGCCAAAGTGCTGCAGCAGCAGGAGCAGCAGAGTGGCCACGGCATTGGGTCTTCTCTCCCAACTGCAGCAGCAGCAGCAAGAGCAGCAGCAGCCGGAAAGCAGCAGCAGCAGCAGCAGCAGCTGCCAGCCTTGCTGCTTAGCTGCAGCGGGGGGGCTGACAGCACTGCGCTTTTGCATGCAATTGCAGGCGCCCTGGGACTTGCTGCTTCTACAAATAGGGCTATTGCTGCTGCCGCTGCTGCTGCTGCTGCTGGCCGCGGCCATGTGCAGCAGCAGCAGCAGCAGCGGCAGAAGCAAAAGGAAAGCCCAGACGCATCAGACTACCTGACTGCTGCAGAACTGGATGGCATTGCAGCATCCAGCTGCTGCAGCAGCAACAAAACTAACAGCAGCAACAGCAGCACAAGCAGCAGCAACAGCAGCAGCAACAGCAGGAGCAGCAGCAGCAACAGATTAGCTGCGTGCGTGCCGGTGGGGGACAGCGGAGTGCTTGTTGCTGCTGTTTATTTTGACCATCAGCTGCGCCCCACAGAGACGCAGCAGGAGCAGCAGCAGCTAGCAGCAATCTGTGGGGTGTATGGACTCCCGCTGCACTGCTACGAGCTGCCAAAGCAGCTTCTTGCTGCATGCAGGAAGCAGCAGCAGCAGCGGCAGCAGCAGCAGCACGCCAGGAGACGCAGCAGCAAAGCCTCGCCGCAGCAACTGATGCGCAGCTGGCGCCGGTGCGAGTCAGCTGCCCTTCTTGCGCGTATCTTACAGCAGCAGCAGAAGCAGCAGCAGCAGAAGCAGCAGCAGCAGCAGCAGCGGGGCTACCTGTTGACGGGGCATCACGCAGACGACCAAATAGAGACAATTTTCATGAAGCTGCTGCGGGGTGTCAACGTCCTGAACCTGCAGTAAGTCTGCTGCTGCTGCTGCTGCTGCTTCTATTGCTGCTGCTCCCTGTGCAGCTGCCCTGCTGCTGCTGCTGCTGCTGCTGCGCCGCAGCGGCATGGAGCCCTTCTCC